TAAGCTTTATTTATTAAAATTAAACTTTTTAAATATTAAATAATTAATAATTAACTCTATTACTACTTAAACTACTTTAAAACCTAAGAGTATGCTAGGATTACACATCTTATATACTAAATCTACTACTTATACTTAGATTTTAGTAATAAAGAAAAGGTAGGTATTTCGGCTCTTCTTAATCCCGGGATTCCAGCCCAACGCGCGCCAGCCACAAGGGTCATTCGATCTGGGGAAGCAAGTGCTGCAAAGCGGCCCGTGCATTAGCTGCGGCTGGGCGGCTGCTGCTGTGAGAGGCGCTCGAAGTGGGCGTCAAATCTTTGTGGACCGAGCTTGACCTCATCGCAAGCTCCATCCATCCAGCAGCTTCGTCACTTTTCTTTCCGAAAGGAAAACACCAACCGGGAGAAAAAATCTCCACCCCGCCCAATTCAATTCCTCGGATCACCACGAAACACCCAGAGACGCAAGCACACGTCCACGATGCTCACTCCCACGAGCACTTTCGCTCTCCGCCTGGCCGGCCAGGGCGCCGCCCGCGCCTCCATCGCCCGCACTATCGCATGCCCGTACTCGACGACCTCCAAGACCTCTACCCCCACCGGCCGCCCGATCGGTCTCGCTCCCTCCTCGCCGCTCGCCCGCAGCAGCGCCGTCTTCTCGTCCTCCTCCCCGATTCTCGCCTGCGTCGTCCGCCAGCCCTGCGCCCAGCGCAACGCTTCAACCTCTGCAACCTCCCCCGCGGCGTCGCAAAAGTCCGCGTTCCCCACGGCGGCGCAGCAGGGCGACAGGCTCGACTGGAACACCTTCTTCGCGCTGCGCAAGTCCCGCCGCAGGTGGCAGCTGGGTTTCAGCGTCGTGACGTTCGGTGCGTCCTTCGTCGGCGGGGCGGGCGTGCTCGCTACCGGCGTCGCGGACCCCCTGGTCTCGCAAGTGCCGCTGGACCCCTTCATCACGCTTGGTCTTATGACGATGAGCTTCGGTGCGCTGGGTTGGCTGATTGGGCCGAGCGTGGGATCGCTGGTGTTTTACACGCTGAACAAGAGGTGGAAGAACCAGATGACGGTGGTGAGTATTTTCTCTGCGTTTTCGTGCGGGGCATGCGCCCAATGATCTGATGTTTGGGATGCTGATGAAATTTTGCGTGTAGAAGGAGAAGGAGTTCTTTGCTCGCATCAAGAAGAACCGCGTCGACCCCTCTGTCTCCTCTGTCGGTAACCCCGGTATGTTGCCCTTGTCTTCGCTCATGGGTTGGCTGTCTTACTGACATTCGCAAAGTCCCTGATTTCTACGGCGAGAAGATCTCCAGCGTTGCAGGCTACCGCCAATGGCTCAAGGACCAGCGCGCCTTCAACCGCAAGCGTGTCACCTTCGTGTAAAAGACAACTCATTATCAACTTGGCACATCACGGCTTGACAGCACACAAACTTTTGTATTCATCTCTTAAGGTTAATTAGGATTCATCATGGCTCTTGGGCGTAGGCCGCCCTCCTCTCTTTGTAGCAATAGGGGTATCGCGTGGGAAAAGTATGTATGATGACGGCAGTCCCCCCTTGTCAGAACAAATCCAACTTATTGAAACCAAAACCTCATTGACCTTTCTTTTCTCTCCTTTCTCATGTGAATGGCAACGTCGGGTCAATCTCGGCTTTCCATGCCCTCATGCCGCCCTTGATATCTCCAATGAACCTGCCGTTGTTATTCAGGCCTAGGTCCTTGAGACGCTTGGCGGCTAGTTGGGAGTCGTTGCCCACTCTGCAGACCAGGTAGATGGGTGCGTCTTCGGCCAAGTCTGTCGGTATCCACCCGGGCTGTGGTGATGTTCCGTCTTTTGTTACTTGGGTATCCTTCATGAAGGTTGAGATCGGTATGCTCATCGCGCCGTCAATACTGCAGATATCAAAGTTTTCCTTCTCCCTGACGTCGAGGAGGAGATGCTTAGCAGAGCCTCCCTTTGAGAGGCGCTCATACTCGGTGGCGGTGATCCGCTCATCGGGTCCCAAGATGTTGACAGGAGCAGTGACGCCGCAAAAGGACACATAATCCAAAGAACCAGACCGCAGCGTCTCCAGAGACAATGTCGACTGCGCAGAGCAAGCGAAGCAGTCCTTCCTCCTCCCGCGCATACGGACAGATCTGAAAGGCCCAGATGGAGCAGCCCCCGAGAAGATCAGTAGAGATGGCGCGGCTGCTTCTTTGACCTTGACCTCGGGGTCAACAGCCCCCGCAGCGACGAGCTTGATCGCCTCTAGAGCCTGCATAACGCCCATCACTCCCACGACCGGGCCCAGAATACCGCCCTCGCCGCAGCTGACCACGCTGTCGGGCGGTGGCGGTTTAGGAAACACGCATCGATAGCATGGTCCACCTTCCAAGCTTCCCTGCGGTGCGGCCGGTGAGTTGAGAATGATAAGCTGGCCATCGGTTCGGAATGCTGAGGCTGAGACTAGGGGCTTTTGGAGGAGAACGCAGATGTCGGAGATGAGGTAGCGGGAGGTCGGGTGGTCGGTGCAATCGAGGACGATGTCGTATTGAGAGACGATTTCTTCGGCATTCTGAGGCGTGAGATGTGTTTTGTGCGCTTGGTAGGTGACGGTTGGGTTCAATCTGAGATGTTAGTCATTAGATGCCGAGTGGATCATCAACGGGATGGTGCTCTTCTACCCTTTGAGATATGCGATGGCGCTGTCAACTTTAAACATGCCAACCCGGTCCGTTGAATGCGCCACCTGCCGGTGGAGGTTGGATACCTCGACAACATCCCCGTCAACGAGACCGACAGTCCCGGCCCCTGCTCCGGCGATGTAAGCTGCTGCGGGGCATCCCAGTCCACCGGCTCCGATGAGGAGAACCTTGGACTTTTTCAGCCTCAGTTGGCCTGCAGCATTTTAGCGTCTTCCAGTTACCCATATCACCATCTCACTCTAACCTTTGACCCCCACGGCTGGGATGATCAGCTGCCGCCCGTATCTTTCATACTCCTCCGCCAAGAGTGGCCATTTCCAGGGTTGCGGGTGCTGCTCGTCACGAACTTCCTTCTCCGCTTGTGCCAGCTCTTCTTTCAAGTTTCGAAGCTCAGCCTCCGCTTCGGCGACCTTCCGCCTCAGGTCCTCGATTTTGCCCATTTTCTTTCTTGGATGGGCCGTGACAGCTTTGGCGGGGTGAGTCGCGCACAAGCGTGGGCATTTGTGCATTTTATACAAAAGTCGGAGGGGCCAATCCCGACCGCCGACCCTACGATTTAAATGGACCCGCTTTTGTCGGACCCCACCTCGAATTTTTGAAAGCTTGGGCAGTCCAGAACTTTGACCAGCGCTTTCCAACTTCAAAGCAGCGACTTCAACTTTTGCGCCGACCGGATTTTCACTCTTTCAAATCGTGAATTTCGAGCTACAAACACTCATAATGGTAAGTCTTAATCCAACTCTCCTAACGCACAATCAAGCTGACCCTCACAGGCTCCCACCGCCCCACCATCCCTCTCCGCCCGCGAGAAGCGCATGGCCCGAATCCGCGGCGACATCCACCCCCTCGCCCCTCACAAAACCCACCGCGCCGAAGCCCAAGTCGACGACGCCTTCCTCACGAACAAGAAAGACAAGCGCACGATGAAGCACTCCGCCTTCGTCTCCAAGATCGGCAAGGCCAGCAGCAAGAAGACGCTCAAGCGCCGGCGCCCGTCCAAGAAGCTCGTGACCACGATGGAGTCGCTCGCCGACGCGCTGCCGGACCTCGCGGACGACGGCGAGACGGCGCACAGCCTCGAGCAGCTGCGCGAGGGCAAGGTGCGGCACAAGAGTTTGAAGAGCAGGCCTGGGGCGCTGAAGAGGAAGGAGAAGGTTGTCAGGGGGGAGATGGCAAGGTTTGGGGCGAGTATGGCGGCGCTGGCGAATGTACCGGCGGCGCCGGTGCCGGTCGCTGCGGCTCCTGCGGCCAAGGTTGACGGTGGTGATAATGTCGCCATGGGAGACGCGGCTGCGGAGGAGACGAGTGCGACGGCTGGACGGTGGGCGGCTTTGAGGAGGCATATTTCGAGTACGATGGAGACGAATCCTGCGTTCAGCCGACAGGGACCTTGAACTGGTGTTAACAAGGTTGAAACAATTCAAGGCCAAAGATTGGAGAGAATGGAGTATTGCTCGACCTTCCGTCTCAACGAAATCAGGAAGATACGGCAAGCCAGATGACCCCTTGCGTCGATATCGACTCCTCCGCTCAAGATTCCGGCGTAGAAAAGGCTGGATTGAACAACGACGTCAAATCATTCTGGACGGGAATGTAAGCGGAGGCTGCACTGCCACGAGTTTGTTTCACTAGTAACGAAATGGCCTCTTGCAGGACGCCTGCGGGCCTCCAGAGTTTCGTTTTCGGATGGCCTTATGATCAGATACGGACAGGTAACAACCGTTCACCCTTTTTCGAGCGTAATGTGCTCATATTATGTGAACTTGCGCCGGCTTGTCGGCTAGAGAACGGCAGATATCAATATCCGAGAAACGGATTTGAATAGACGAAAACGCACATCCACGATTAAACAGGATTTCAAATTTGAAAGTGATTAAGCCCTCCAAGATATGGTCGATGACTGGGCGAATAGTCTTATGCAATTAGCACGATTCTGGCGATCAGTCTCGCATGGCTCCCCTCTTCTCCTGCACTGCAAGGGTAATTAATTGGCTGCTGCAACACCAAGCGGATTTCCTGATTCGGTGCTGACGCTGACGAAAGCTCGGCACCTCGGGCGGATTAGCTATTGTCCTAGATGGTTGGGCTCTTCTGGCCCAGCCTGACCTGGCATTCGTCGTTCAACCCCCAACCGTATCTGCCATCGTCTACGCGCGGTTCGATCTAACTCGACGCAACGGCGCTTGAGCTTGTTCCTTCTCCGCGACAGAGTCGCAAGCCTCGTATTCGAAGCCATCTCTTGTCCCAGACTAGCTCCTCGCCGTGGCCGAGATCTCGATGTGACCTGTGTGGCGGACTCGGCATTGATTCCACCATGTCTGCAGACCATCACGACTACCCCAGCTCTCATGCGAAACGAGCTCTAGATGACGACAGCGGAGATGCCACAAGCCATCCTTACGTGAAACGCTCAAGATCAGATCATGGGCTCGAAGGCGACTGGCGAAGGCAGTCGGAACCAATCAAACTGCAGCATGCCGACTACACTGTAGGCTGGATTTGTGCGCTTCCTATCGAACTGGCTGTGAGCCAAGCCATGCTCGATCATATTCATCAAGACCTCCCGCCGTGCTATGGCGACACGAACGCGTACATCTTGGGGAGCATTGGGACGCATAAGGTGGTGATGGCGTGCTTGCCCTCGGGGCAGTATGGGACGACCAACGCTGCAGCTGTGGCCAGCAACATGATGCGGAGCTTCCCTTCGATTCATATCCGTTTGATGGTTGGGATTGGCGGCGGCGTGCCTGGAGATCCCGATATTCGACTTGGTGATATCGTTGTTGGTGATAAGGTCGTACAACATGATCTTGGAAAGATTGTCGGCGTAGAGGGCTTTAAAACAACGGGGACCCCGATTCGACCTCCTCATGACTTGTTGAAAGCTGTTTCAAAGCTCCGCGCTATACATGAGGCAACGGACAGCCTCATTCCTATCTTTCTCGAACAAATGTTTGAACGCTATCCTAAACTGAAGGCATACCAGTATCCGGAATCGTGCGACGACCGCTTGTTTCGCGCCACGTACGAGCACGCGCATACGACGGACTGCAGCGGTTGTAGCCAAACTGAGTTACAGCATCGGCCAAGGCGTGACAGCCGTCACCCTAGAATACATTATGGCGCTATCGCGTCAGGGAACCAGGTCGTTAAGAGTGCTTCAGCTCGGGACAAGCTATCCAAACAGCTAGGCGTTGTTTGCTTCGAGATGGAAGCAGCTGGATTGACTGACAGTTTCCCTTGTATTGTAGTTCGGGGCATTTGTGACTATTCGGATTCACACAAAAACAAAGAATGGCAGAGGTATGCCTCGGCTGCTGCAGCTGCGTACGCAAAGGAACTGGTTTCTATCATTATTCCAAACAACTACAACAACACCCCTATTACCGATCCACCGGGGATATCCACAGAGGATTGTGAGTCAAAGTTGACACCAAAGGCTGCTCTGGGCTCACTGACACCCTATTAGTACAGACCAAGTTTCGGTCTCGTCGCCAATCATTGCTGCAGTCCTTACAATTCGATCATATCGATAGTCGTCGTGCAATCATCAGCACAGCGCATTTGAAGACATGCGAGTGGCTTCTCCAGGATGGCTCCTACCTTAGCTGGATTAATTCGTCCAAGCTAATGGGACATCACGGATTCTTGTGGATCAGCGGAAAGCCTGGTGCTGGCAAATCCACGATCATGAAATTCATTTTCAATCGTACTCTCAAGACACTCGGCAGAAACTGCGTTGTTATTTCGTTCTTTTTCAATGCTCGCGGGGGCCTCTTGGAAAAAACAGTCTCTGGGCTGTACCGGTCTCTTCTACTTCAACTCCTCGACAGAGAACCTGGACTGCAAAGCGTCCTCGACGACCTCACCCTTATCCCACTCAACCATAAGGGTTGTCCGGCAATCGATACTCTCCAAGAACTTTTCCGTGAGGCGATCATGGCTCTAGGCTCACGCCAATTAATCTGTTTTGTCGATGCACTTGATGAATGTGACGAGGCAGAGGTTCGAAAGCTCGTGGTTTACTTTGAGGGCCTGGAGGAAATGGCAGCAGCAAGCAATATTCGACTGAAAATATGCTTTTCAAGCCGGCATTATCCTCACATCGACGTCCGACGTGGCCTGAAGCTAACGCTTGAGAACCAGCCTGGCCACAGACAAGACCTACGACGTTACGTTGAAGACCACTTAAGGGCAGGTGAAGGCCTATACGTCGAAAATATTCGGTCTGAACTTCTTCGTAAGGCGGGGGGCGTATTTATGTGGGTTGTGTTGGTTGTCGAAATCCTCAACAAAGAATTTCTGTCGGGTCGCAGGGACAAAGTCGAGAGAAGACTGCAAGAGATACCACCGAAGCTCAGTGAGCTTTTTAAAGATATCTTGCGACGCGACAACGACAGTATAGAGGAATTCTTGCTCTGCTGTCAATGGATTCTCTTCGCAAAACGTTCTTTACGTCCCAGAGAATGGTACTTCGCCATGTTGTCTGGGCTATCAGATGGTCAAGATGGTCCAATTCCCTATGACCCGGAAATTGTGTCCGACGAGGACGTGGACCTTTTCGTCAACAGCTCTTCAAAAGGACTTGCAGAAATAACCAAGTCTACACAACCAATTGTACAGTTCATACACGAGTCTGTAATGGACTTCCTCGTCAAGGAAAATGGCTTGCAGCATCTTCAGCTCGGCCTCGAAGCGAATTTCCAGGCTCAAAGTCACAACAGGCTCAAATATTGCTGCAATTCATATATCACGAAGAACATCACAGAGGAGTGTCAGCATCTGGTTGCAAATAGGAATCACATGAGAGATCACGCACAGGACTCTTGGAACGACTACCCCTTCCTCGGGTACGCAGTTGAGAGCGTACTTTACCATGCCGAAATTGCAGCGGAGGTGGTGCCGCAGGATGACTTCATCGACAAGTTCTTGGTCTCGGACTGGCTGTATATTGCCAATCATCATTCGCTTTCGGGCCCTCTCAACGACTACGCGTACACGACGTCACTACTGTATATCCTCGCGGACTTGAACATGATCAGGCTGCTGGAGGTGTGCATTAGTCGCAGCCATGGCCCCCAACCGAAGGGGGGACCGTACGGTTATCCATTTTTCGCTGCGCTAGCCCATCATCATTGGACAGCAGCCAGGTTATTTCTTGGCCTGTCTGCCAGCAGTGAATTCACTCACAATGAGTTATTTCTGGTTGCTGATTACCGTGAGAACCTCGGCCAATTCATGACATCAGTATCTAGCCCAATCAAGTGGGCAATTGTAACCGGCCATTCAAATCTTGCCAAGTTGATGATTGCGTCAGGTCAATTTGACCACTTGGCTTTGGATGGATTTGGCCGCTTACCAATACATTGGGCTGCAATCACGGGAGATGAGGCTTTGATGGCAGCCTTGATCGACAGCTTTCGTCCGGCCAACAGATCAAAGGGAAACACGAAATTATTGCATGCGGCGTGTGCAGAACCCGTCGACGAAGCCAAAGACGAAAACTCTCAATTGAGTAACGTGGCTGACTATATCGATGCAAAGGACAACTCAGGATCGACTCCGCTTCTGTTGGCTATTATAAATGCCAACGAAAGCGTCATTCGCGTCCTCCTCGCTTCGGGCGCGAATTCCGACAAAAGCCTTACCCTTCCCAATAGTTTTCAGTTCGCCGATCCTCAAAAATTCACAAAGTTCACTGCAAACATTCTCGTTGAACAACGCATGATCACTGAGTGGGCACTTCTCTTAATGGCTTCTCGAGCGGGGCTGGAAAACATCATCGACCTTGTGGTTAACAGAGAGAACTTCTTCACCGATGCTGATCATGACGGAGCAGAAGTTCTTCAAGCGGCTGCATCGGGTGGTCATTCGGGAACCGTTGATCTACTCATTTCGAAGGGGGCAGGCAAGAGAAGTCGACGATGGAACAGCCATGGTCTCCTTCACCAAGCAATTCTCGACGGCACTCCCTCGGAGGTCAGGATCCTCCTTAGGAATGGCGCAGATGTCGACGCACCAGATCCTAATGGCGAAACACCCCTTTACGCAGCATGTTCTAGTGAACGTAAACATATTGTCAGAATTCTCCTTGAAAATGGTGCAGATGTCGACACTCAAGATGCGTCTGGCCGAACGTCTCTACACGCAGCATGTAAGGTTGAACATAAGGGAATAGTCAAGATCCTTCTAGACCACGGTGCAGATGTCAATATCGAGGATGACTGGGGCCTCAGATCAGCCTGCATTGCGGATAAATATGGAAACGACGGCATAAAGAAGCTTCTTATCGAGAAAGGGGCGGTCTGCCCTGGAAAAGATGGTACCCTGTATTCACTGTTTGGCCATGGACATGGACAAAGTTCGTGAGCAGGCATCACTGAAGTCAGGTCTGCGGATGCAGTACGAGGCCAAGATTGTCAGCCTTTCAGGAGCATGCCGGATCACTCTACCTAATATCCGTGTGCAGGAACTCATCAGTGCTATTGAGTTTCTATCCTTTCAAGCACGTGACTGCAGATATCTTGTCTCCTCAGTACAGCGAACAGAATGTTCGGGTTAGTCCGGTGCGTAGCTCCTGAGGCGGAGCACAGTGAAGCCGAAGGAGCGGAGCGAGGGAGTTACATACAGCTTAACTACTAAAGCTTAGGTATAAAAACGATACGAGGGATCTCTTCGCTAATTAGCCGCCCTTTTGAGGCCCTTCGCGGACTAGCTAGCTGAGAGTAGCGCTAATATGAGGTTATTTCGGGTGCGTAGGAGCTTCGAGGGCAAGAGCTTCAGAGGGCAGGAGGGCAAGCAGGCAGGACAGCTATGCTCCGGGAATTTCGCTGGGCGCTGGGCTTCAGCGTCCACAGTATCTGATACGAGGGAGTGCGTCAGCAATCGCATCATATGCATAGTTTCCCTCAGAAATTTACTCAGCATACACTGGAACTAGGAAGTGTCGAGTTAAAAATTGATCTTGAGCAACCACTAAACGCATTACAAGCCCTCTGTTATGCACTCTTTCCAAGTTGGCTGTTTTGGCCAGTGAAAACATGGTGCACTGTCATTTGACGATCGAGTGATGTCAGCTCAAGGCCCAGACCGCGTGCCCAATATTTATGGGGCACCAGCGCTGCACAACACGCTGCGCGTTTGCCCTACAGAAAACGTTAACGACGCGTGATCCTGGGGAAACGGCTGGGTAGGTGCGGCTCCGTCGTCATAATCGTGGGGATCGTCAGGAGAGGGCGGCTTGGGACTGGGTTGTTTGCCTAGCAGCAACGTCACTGCTTGTTTTGGTTGGAGAAACTGCAGGAAGGCAGCTGCTGCCTGCTTTTTTGGATGGCATTCGGTCGCTGCTTCCCTTGGAGGGAAAAAAAGTCAGAGGAAGCATAAAAGACCTCGGAGTTCAGTATTCTCGACGTGAACTATTCCCATTTCATCAACATCCAAGTTACCCATTTGCGACCGTCAACAAAAACGAACGATCATCACCCACATCCAACGACATCACAACATCAACATGGCCAGCACCAATCCCGCCAACTTCGCTAATCTGTGTGTCCTCCTGATTCCTATCGGAATTTTCTGGGTGAAATTCTGAGCTAACGATTCCAGGCCTACTGAGGAGGTCCAGGCAATCGCATCCAAGGGCGGCCAGGCCAGCCATGGTCCCGAGGAGGTCATCTCCCCGACCGGCAACCTGAACCCAGGCAACTTCCAGAACCGGTATGCATCTTAGACCATTTCCCCTGCTGCTTTCGAGGAGAAGGTGCATCTTGGCATTCGTGAGGTTGACTTACATACGTGCAGCCCCACCGAGGAAGTCCGCGAGATCGCAGCCAAGGGCGGCCACGCCAGCCACGGCCACGGCGCCGGTACCCACACCTCGGCGGCCGGCAACGGCAACCCCGCCAACTTTGCCAACCGGTACGACCCGCTCCCGCCCCGCTCCGGCATTTGAACCTTCCCACGACGAGGGTTGCTACGTGCATCTTGCTAACTTTTCTCATATCAAAGGCCCAAGGAGGAAGTCCAAGAGATTGCCGCCAAGGGCGGTCACGCCAGCCACGCGGGTGGTTTCGCCAGCATGGACCCCGAGAGACAGGTGCGTTTATTCGTAGTCGCTGCAAAAGTTCCCTCTCCCTGAGCACCGTTGTCATGGTTGCCAGTACAGTTCTAGAACGCCGTTTCGCTGACCGTTGTTGTTTATCACAGCGCGAGATCGCGTCCGAGGGCGGCAAGGCGTCGTCCGGGTCCTTTGAGCCCGGCTCCGAGAAGGCGCGGGAGGCTGGTCGCAAGGGTGGTCTCACCAGTGGTTCTGCTTAAACACTTCCCACTGCGCAAGCAACATTGTACGATAGAAAGAAGGGCCACGACTTGACGAGCAAATAGGGAGATGATCTGCAGGGTCTCCGTCGAATGATTATCTGATATTTTCTCAACATTTGCGTTTGTTGTGCTTGTCAGGGTGTTTCGCCCAACGTTCGGGCCGCGCGCGGATATGCCTTCCGCTGCGGCCAGAAAAGCTTGGACACACTCAGATGCATGCTTTGTGGGTGATATCGGATCAATAACAATCACGGGCGTGACCTTTTGAGAGGTACGGATGAGTCTAGGCCCTCCCTCGGCAGATCACCTCAGTCTGGTTTTCGTCTCGACTTACATGAAGTGTGTTTGTTTGGCACTCGCCCTCCCGGATTCCCAGGATACAAAGCCAGCCCGCGAAGGAAACACTCTCATGAATGCAAAGAGGGCAGATCGGAAACGAAGCGGCTGCCACCAGATTGTAACCTTCCCAATCGTGGTTGGTGGGAAAAGGCGGCGCCAGGTTACCGGAAGTGTCCCTCGGCAAGCGCCGACCGGAGAGTTTCCCCCCCTCTGCCTTTTCTTGTTTACCCCACCCAGTGGACCGCGGCCCCAGCAGTCCCTGCGCGCGATGCAGCAGCAGCAGAAAAGAAAAGATGAGGCTGTCCTTGCGCTGTGAGTGTGGGTGAGTACCGTGAAGGTTTGTCCGCGGATAAGGGTCCGGCGCAAGGTCCTCCGTCAGCATGGCCACCAGTCACCAAAGCAGGTATTCGTACGCGTAGCAGCCACGTTGGGCATCCTAGGCCGGTTAGACGGCTTTCCCTCCCAATGCAAGCACTAAGTAGGTACAGTGATGCTGCAGGTTCGCTGATGAGGCCTGCGGCGGTAATTGCCCCAGGCGGGTGGTATCCAACGTATCAAGGTCGACGGCCCATTGCGATGGTCTGGAACGGGTGCCGCAGCACGGTGACGTAGACGAGGTGAAACCAGGCACCTCGATCGATCTTGGTCCAGCGAGAAGCAGCAGCACCAGCACCAGTGCTCACCCACGGAGAAGTGATTACCGCTTCTTTTTTCGTTTTCCCCAACCTCACAGTGCTGTAAAGTATGGCGGTGACTAATTCCATTTTCTGAGAGAGGTAGGGAGGAGCAGTAAAGTAAAGATAAGCTACGCAGCGGGCATCATCATGCAGTGCTGGCACTTTAATCTACCAGCTACAAGACACCGTCGCAGCCAATGTCACAGGCCGGACACGCAAAGAGCGGCACCCCAGATTCGGAGAGATGGCGTTCCAGATCTCGTGCCACCTTTCTCTTTGCCCTTTCTCCTCTTTGCCTAACTTGGGCGTGGCTGCCATCGCAGATGATCGGCCCAGGTTTCGTCCTTCTTTCTTTTTTGTGCTTTTTGGGTTTTGCTAGGCTAGCCCTGAAAGTATGTAAACTGGCGTGCTCCCACTGTCCATCTGCTGTGATGCCCGTCCCTGCATGTTTTGCTCTGCTATTTGCAAAAAGTGCTTGCCTACTATACGCTCTTACCGCTCGAGATTCAGAGAGCCTGAATTGGCTTTCCTCGTATTACAGTAATCAGTGAAACCTTCCGACTGCCCTGCGCCGAAGCATCTCCCCCGGGGGATCCCCAGACAATCCGCGGTCGATTTGGAAACAGGACCCCGTCGAGTCTGTTGGGTCGTACGATGGCTGCGGCAGTGGGAGCTCCAGCAGCGTCCTCGAGCAGTCCTTTCAGTGTGCCAAGGTGTGTTCAATCTTTTGCAGTATCTGTATGTTATTGTTCATGGCCTGCATTCCCGTCATCAGTCCTGTCTTGTGACCCCTCCCCCGCTGTGCTGTGCTTCAGTGGAGGAAACGGCGAGGCCGCACCAGTCGAGTGGCTTTCCGGGCTGCGAGGAGCCCGACGCACCCGGTGGCCCCAGCTCCCCAGCTCCCCAGCCCCCACCCAATTGGACCAGCATGCGCCTCAAGTGTGGCTCATCCGTCACGCCAGCTGGCCAATGCTTCTGCTGCTTGGAGGGGTGCTCAGCCACGGCCACGTCCTCGCACCCTCGTCATTCGTCGCTGGTGTCGCTGCATCGTCAGTCATCAACGCGAATCGAGGTGCACCGCAAGCCTCATTCGCAATGCTGTCTGGCCCCTACCGCCCTAGATTTCAGCCCAGTCCGTTCCCAGTTTTTCGTCTTTCCGCTGGTGCAACCTCTCTCCAATCCAAAAACACAGCAACACCACAGCACAGCACAGCGCAGCACAATCCCCCCAGACAAACGGGCAGCGTCTGTTCTTCCCCACCCCGCCGCCGCCGCTAGCACCTGGTCGAGGTGACCCTGTGACTGGATCCCCCAGCAGATCCCAAAGTGAAAGGGCCCACGACAGAGAAAGAGAAGCCGGAGACCCTCCTCCATCCCCGCCCAAAAAATTGCAGCACCACCGAAAAAAGGAAACCGCCTCGTCCAGGGTCCCTTTCTTTCTGCAGGGCGTCTGTTTTTCTTTTTGGGCTTTGATTTTTTTCAAACATCTCGTCATCCCTCCCCCATCCCTCATTCCCCGAATTGTTTACATTCCCATCTCCCCTCTCCCCCTCCTTTCTCCCCTCAACTTTCTCCCAAACACCACGAGCAGGTGTGATCGATCCCCCAGAAAGATCGACACAACCCTCGCCCAAACCGACTTAACCTCCCCTCTGACGCAACTTCCTCGACCCGAATAGCCGCTTTCTCGCTTTCCGTCGTCATCACCACCAACAAGCACAACCACAACCGCCGCCGCCGCAACTGCAACCGCACCGCGAAAGCTCCGACAGCTCCTCCTCCTCCGCGCAAACGCCCTCGTCCGCGTCCCTCTCCCCGACACCGAGCTCCAGCAGCAGCATCACCAAGTCCGGCCAGAGGTCGGAGTCGCGGCTCAGCATGCCTTTCAGGAAGATGGCCCGTCACTTTGGTGACACTGTAAGACCCTCTGCCTCGTTTTCTTCTTCCCTCCCGCGTGACCGCAACCCGCTCGCTGCCGCGTCGCACTGCTCTCGCATCGTCCGACACGACGCCCGGGCACATGGCCTGTCCTCCTGCCATCATCTCGTCGCCGTTGCAGGTTGCGCAGAGCAGAGCGACGACGCAGGGCGGGCGAACGCGGGGTACACTTTCTGACGGGGGATGCCCGTTTCAGCGCTGCACTCCAAAAACAGACGAGACCTGTATGAGCTGACCTGTGCTTCTCCGTTTAGCTCTCCCCGCAGGCACCTTATTTGTCGTGTAAGTCATTCTCCAACCCGCGATTCCCGCGCATCCGGCCTGGATAGTATCAGTGAACCCGACTAACAGCCTTGCGTCGCAGATCATGACATCCTCCGTACGTTCTTCCGAAACAGCGCGCCCCGAGCCGCTTCGTTCCGTCCCTCCCGAAGTCGTCGAACTAACCCATCCCAGTAACCTACGAAGACATCAAGTCTCTCAAGAACGATTGGTTAACAGATAACGTACGTGACTCGCCCTCGTTCTCTCCTCGAAACTCGCTAACGTCTCTAGAACATCGCCTTCTGGGAAGAGTACGACCCCTCAATGCTCCCCTCTCCCCCGCAAACCTAACAAACCTAGATGGCTCGAGCGCGAGATCCTCCCGAAATACCCCCAAGCCCGCATCATCCTCCTGCGGCCGTCGATGACCTTCCTCCTAATGAAAGAACCCGACATGCGCCAAATCCGCTCCGCCCTCCCCGACTTCTCGAAAGTAACGCACATTTTCCTGCCGATTAACGATGCTCGAAACGTCGCACAAGCCGAGGGTGGCTCTCACTGGTCGCTTCTCCTCGTCTCCGCCATCGACGGCGTCGCCTTCCACTACGACTCCCTCGGCGGCGCGAACTACGCCGAAGCCCGCCTCGCGACGCAAAAGATGTCCGAGATCCTCGGCCGGCCCCTCAGGTTTCACAACCTCGACGACTCACCGCAACAAGAAAACGGCTCCGACTGCGGCGTCTTCGTCTGCATCCTCATGCGCCACCTCCTCGTCAAGCGACTGCTCTCGGCCAATGCTAGGGAAAAGGTCAGCATGAGCATGGCGAATAAGCTCATCGACTCCCACGGTGGGCGCAAGGAGATGCTCAAGATCATCGAGAGCTTGAGAAAAGAGGGCGAGAGGAGGAGATCGTAAGCGCCTTCCTTTACCATCCCCCCACAGTCCCTGACTCCCGGACTTCTGCTTCCCGCAAAATACTTGTCTTGTGTGTCTTTGTTGTTATGCCTTCCAAAAATTGTATCATACCGAAAGGGTTCCCTGACACCCCTTCTTTAAAAAGGAGAAGCGCGTCACCGTACTCGTCAAAGACGCCGCCGCGAATCGAGTAATCCCTCCCGACGACCGATCGATCACACCGAAATGACGATTACCACTACTACACAACTTTCAATTCTTCTCTAATGTTTTCGATAAACGATATCCACGAAGGCATGCACCCATTGTATTTGTTCTCCAACAACCTACTGTCCGAATAAGCAACCCCCAAAAAAATGTCACGAAGTATGAGCGATTGGCGAGAGGATGTGGATGGAGGTTTAGCGGGCGAACTCATTGATCGAATCCGAGTACGATGCAGTCCAGAGCTCCAGGTCTTCGAGCGAGAGGGGGATTTCCGGAGGGATGGCTTGGGGACAGTTGATGAAGACGGGCGCAGAGCGAGGAGGGGCCATATTTGGCGATGTTCAAACTGGAGACGGGGACTAGCCGAGGCGAGGCGTTTGAGGCGTGCTCAACGTGGGGGGTTCCTGAGAAGACGGATCTTGGGTTTCACATACTCTCGTCTGTAAACTGGCGAAATGGAGTTTCTTTGCAGGCAGGCGTGCTTGCTCACTAGCGAGGTTTATTGACTTGTGGCCTCTATCTCGCTTTGTCTTCACGCTGATTGTGCGACTGTTGGCACCTGAGCGATTACAAGTACTGACACATTCGTGCACCTGATGGCCATCTAGAAAGGTCTGTGTCTGGTTAATGTGCCAGATCGAGTGCCTGGGTGATGTAAGCAAGATCACTTATCTTAAGTCTCTTCGCATGTTTGGAAGGGTTTTTGAATTCTGAATACGATTAAGAAAATCGCATGAAGATGATCTTCCTCGACGTGAACCCCAGAGCTACTGTCGTACCATTGCTCTTTGCCGCTTGCGGCCGGTATCCGGTAGGAAGCCAAAGAAACCTTTTCCCATCCTTCAAGATCCAGCTGTTGTCTTCCCGTGTGTAATGATAACCTGTAGGAGTTGGTTCTAGGTCTGGAGGCATCAAAGGTTTCAACGGTATTGTCGGGGGTCCCGAGCGGACCGTCCTCAGATGTGTGAGGAGCTCACGTCTTAGGTGTCCTAGGCTTGGGAGTTTACCTGTAGGTGTTGATTCTAGGTCTGAATGTATCAAAGATACCAACGGCGTTGCCGCTTCTCCCGCGGCTCCCAAGTCGATTGTCCCCAAATCTGTGAGAAGCTCATATCCTAGATCTGAGAATTTGGCCCACTTCAGATGCCGATTTGAGGATTGCGCATTGTCAAAATTTCTTTGTAGAGGGCCTTCATGCAAGGTAGCCACCATGTCCTGTCCCCGTCTGTGTACTTCCACTGCTCGCACTCTGCCGGTAAATTCATTTCGAATTTCAATGTGACTTCCGTGGTTCGCAGCAACGTGTAGATTGCCTTGATGAAATGTTGCCGAACAATCTTTTGAGCCCCTGGGAAATGCCGATGTGCACAGTCCGGTGTTCATATCCCAAATACATATTTCAACGCCCGAGAGCGATACTGCCCTGCTACCGTTACAGGCAAAAGTTATCAAGTCAATGGTTTGGCTATCACGACTGCCAAAATCTGATCGAGAAACGGGAGGTGGTGATGTCCTAAAGTCTGTTCGCATCTTAGCCAAGAAGGTCTTAGTGAATAAAGTCGGATAGAGAATGACAACTGGTTATCTTACCTTCGTCGAACTTCCAATTTCCTGATCTTGGTGGGCTGTTTGAAAAAAACATGAGTGGTTGAAAGGACGCATTGGGTTGGTCTATTGTCAAATCCCAAAGCTTGATTGATGCATCAGCAGAGGAGGAGGCGAGCAAGCTCGCATCCTTAGAGAATGCCGCCGAGGTCACAGCCCCAACGTGACCTTGTAACGTACGCGTGCTTTGAGTTTTGGACATATCCCAAAGGTACACATCCATAGTGCTGGTATCGCATGCGAGCCTATTCCCATCGCGTGATATCGCGATAGGAGTTGTTCTGCCTGGTTGCGCTGTATCTGGATAGGATGGACGGGAGATCTTGCCCGTTGCCAGATTGTATACCTTCACCTCCGCACAAGCGGTAGATGTAACTTGAGTGCTATCTTGTGAAAATGCCACCAACATGACCGGCGCATTGTGGTCAATGGTTGTAACGCAAACTCCTGTAGTTGGCTTCCAGAGTTTCACAGTCTTGTCCCGCGAAGCTGACGCAAGCAAGGAGCCATTTCCTGAGAATGCATGTGATACAACAGCACCACGGTGACCTGCAAGTGTGCGTGTGCACGCGCCACTGTTCACATTCCATAGCTGGATGACACTCGTTTGGCAACCCGACGCAAGTGTAAATCCGTCAGTTGAGAAAGCAACTGAATAAGGATTACCGTTACTTGAAAACGTTTGTAGACGATGGCCGGTCATCGTGCTCCATAATTCGATAAATCTGTCTGACGCCGATGCAAGGATGGCACCATCAATCGAGAAAGCCACAGAGCAAGCTACGCCATGGGTCTTGAGCGTCCTTGCACAGTGACCTGTTGCTGTGATCCAGATCTTGATAGTACCATCTCTGGATGCTGAAGCTAGCATCGTATTATCAGAGGAAAAGACGACTAAGATAACCGACTTATCGTGCGCTTCGAGTGTCTGAAGGCAAGGGCTCCAATTATAATCTACCAGGGGCTTCAAAGGCCAATCCGGCTCTTCGGCTCGGAATAGTCTTCTGATGAAGCTGTTCGTTGGACTAAACACCAATGCCGAGACATAGACTTGCATTGGGTCAAATTCAATTGGTATCCGGAAGTATCGAATGAACCGGAGTGCATCCCGGACTAATGACTTCCCCAATGGTGTCCCTTCTGCTGCCTATGAGTAATCAGCCAAGCCCCAAGCAGGAATCTTGTTCTTAAGCCTAACGAACCTCAATGACCTGTCCAATACGGGATATAGATAGTATACCCTCGGAAATACTTCGCAAGAGACTCAAGGCCTCTAGCCAGTGAAGCAAATGCTGACTCATAAACTCATAGATTTCATCAGACTGCTCTTTCCCCACATTACCGTCCAGGAGATGGTCAGTCCAATATACGCATGCATACCGGACGTATACCAGTGGATCGGGACACGGAACGCGGATCTCTTCGACAGGAACCCCGTGTTTGTCGATGTCGTAGATGTTGCGTCGCAACGTGCCCGACATAGATAATAGGAGTTTCGAGAGGATAAGGTTATGATTGTGCGCCAGTCCTAATGGCATAATCCTGTGTGTCTGCCTAAGAAGGAAGTCTTTCGCCGATTGGTGAACGAAGTAGATGACACTCTCCCGTACAACTAAAAGCGAGCCGCATTCTTCCACAATTTCCATGACGAATTGGATGTGGTCCAGGAGAGAAACCAGCTCTGCCATGTCGAGAGGACGAGAGACAATGGACATGACGGCCAGAATCTCACTGCAATATTTTGCGTCTAGCGAGCCCAGTATCTGGTCCAAAATTCGTTGATACAACGAGTCTAATCCTGGGGGGAACCTTTGAAGCATTTGCTGCGTATGTCGTGCTGCAACACGATTATCTGCTAATTGTTCATAAACCAAAGCAACCCAGAGGAAGGTGTGACTTGCGTTCGCAGCAAGATACTCCTTGACATTGGTTTTCGTGTCATCATCATATCCTTTCAGGTTCGCCAACTGTTGCGCCTTGTGATTTATGTAACTGTTCACAGCAGCTGAGACGACGCCCTCATTCAGTTCAAGAGATAAATAGACTTTGGTATTTTCTAGGGCGGCGGCTAAGCCCCTGTTGATTCTCAGATCTGGACGACTTGAGGCGATGATTTTTGTGTGTGCTGTCAAGTCAATGATGAAGCTGATGAGCTGATCAAGACCTGAGACGCATTCATCAAGAGCGTCAATGACCAGGATAGTGTTGTGCATGCTTTCGTGGCTCACAGCAAGTGAGAACATTTCGCATAAAACCTCCCAGCCGTTGATGTCTTCAAACAGTTGTTTCCCACCTCTTGCCTGGTCGTACTGTTCACGGAGAAGATCGTGGAGGATAGGGTTCTCCCTAAGTAAGACATAGAGAAGACCTCGAAGCACTGACGTGGCGGTATTCAGTCGTGCGTCAGCTGCTTGGCAGAAGAAGAAAAAGGTTGACTTGTAGCCCATGGCAAGCAACTCGTCGATTATGCCGCACAGCAACATTGTTTTCCCCTTTCCGGGGCCGCCTTTTATCCATAGAAGGCGCTTGTCGGCTCGCCATTGTCCGAAATCGTCGTGGTCGAGGATCCAACGGTATGAGTCTTTCAGGAGGTTGCCTTTAGTGCGCTCTATGCGCTTCTTATCGTCTCGTGGGTCGGTTACTCGTAGGTCGGCGAGGAAATTGTCCTTTTCCTTATTGACTAAATGCTGTGTCAGTATACTAGGCTTCGCTCGTAATCGACATGTGTTTCTTTTTGGGAAGAACCTGTATTCTTCAGACGGCTGCCGAAGCGAGGGCTGTGTTGTGTTTCTTTGCGAAAGGAGGCATATACGATCACGGAAATACAGACAGAGATAGAGACAGAAAAGACACGCGGATATCGCAACAGATACGGGAGTTGAGACCAGTGTGACATATCGAGGGACTCATACCAAAGTTGATGTTGGTCGCATTGTATTGAGAACCAAAACCAGAATTATTGTTTTGGTTGCCTGTTCCTGAGTTATTGTGCTGGACGCCTGCGCCAGAACTTTTGCAAGCCGCTTTAATCCGTGCTGTGCTGTCGTCCTGCAAATCAGAGTTCGTGGATCGCCGACGACGCTTCTGTCCAGCGTGCTGACTAGACATGGTGCTGAGGTGTCTGGCGAGCGCAGGACATTTGCTGAGCCTGCAAGAGCTGCTTTACTGCAGACTGCATCTGCCTGATTGCACGATTTTCTTTGGGTAGCCCTGTTTCAGAAGCCGCCTGGCGATAATCACCGCATTCTTCTGCGTGCTGGACTTCCGTCCTTAGCGTGATGAGATCTGACAAGCTAGAGAGAGAAAAGGATGCCACGGAATCGTGTGTCGAGGCAGAAGGATGTGGGCTCCTGGGCGGGTGGTAGACGGATGGAAGAACCCAGATGAGGGGTTGGATGTGGATGATGGGTGAAGACGACGGATGCAATTCAGTCAGCAGATGGGGTCTGGACTGCCGTCCACGAATCATCAGATTTCTTGGCATCCCTTGATGTCTCCTGCAGCCTGATCCGACTAACCCCTGCCTGCGCGGTTGGCGATTCGACCACACCTGAGCTACACCATTGGCTGCTGTACGACTTTGCACTAGTAACTGCTGGATTTTGGTAACAAATTATGCTTTTTCTACCTCAACCCATCATCTTAGACAACCTTTTGTGTGAGATCGCCTGATTTTCCTGTGCTAGAGCGACTACGTTTCCTGCGGATATAAGCTACCTTACCGTTGTCGTCGTGATCGTCGCTGCTATCGTTGTTATTGTAATTGTTATCACTATTGTTAGTGCGGTAATCGTTGTTGTTATAGTTATTCTCGTTTTTGTATACCTGTCGTCGTTACTACTAATATCATTTTGATTTCTACTATCATATTCGATTGAAGTTATTAATTACACAGCGAATTTAGCCGCGCAGACACAAGTGGATTAGGCGGTCTGCGTTATATCATCGCTCTATCTAGCATTCCCACTTCTTAGTATCATCTTGCTGTTACGTCAGGTGCCTAATCTGACCTGCATTCTAAATCTTTGCATGAAACAATCAAATCCGATGTCACAATTGGTTTCGGGTTCGCAAAATCGGGAGGAGGAAAAATAGCCATGTTGGCTGAGACCAGAACAGGATTGGGGGGAAAGAAAACCCCAATCCAGTGCGAAACACCGTCTCAACTCATACCCTCAACCATATCGTCATTCGTCCCGAAGAATTCAGCTTGAAGGTTGATTGAACCCATCTTGGCATTGTTCTCGTTGAAAACATGCAACGTCTTCGCAACAGCAGTACTGCCAAAATGAATATCAGCAGTTGAGGCAATACCAGTAGCGACACAACTATGCCCGTCGCAAAGTCGAAGACGGCGTTCTGCGCCGCAGCCAGCGGGTTCGCGCCGCCTTCGAAGTGGGTGGCGACGACGGGACCATTAGTGCAGACATTGGTGAGCTTGTCAAAGTTGGCCGTGATGCTCTCATGGCTGCCGGGCAGCAGGTTGATGGTGTAGTCGATAATGATGATGACGAGGACCCGGGCGGCGGCGTTTACGGCGTTGATCTTGAACTTGGAGTTCGAGGTCCCTGGTCTCGACGGCCTCGGGCTGCTCGAAGTTGTCCTAAGGGGCGAAGGCAGCAGCGTCGCGAGGAAACTATTGGTTGACGACGGAGACCTCGGCGATGGGCATGGGAGAGGCGACCACTGAGGAGATGGCGGCGAGAATCATGAGGAGAGCAGACATAGAGAACTTCATTTTGGATAAGGAATGTGGTGAAGAGGAGTCTTCCTAAAGAATGTGGTTTGTAAAAGAATGGAAGCGAACGTTATTGTTTAGACTGTTGATGCATGAGGAAAGAAGAGAGACTGAAGAATACGGCGTAGATCGCGACTTCTCAGGAGGCTTGGGTTGTGTTAGGGTCCTACAAAGATATTTCCTGCTCCTGGTCCAAGATGAGTTCTGCTTAGCAACTCGAGAATCAAGTTTACCTTTCCACCCACCGTGTCCATATCATCGCCTGATTCACGGAGACTAACATGAAGCTCATCGGCATCGCTATCTCAAAGGATAGCATATTGGATGTGGCCTGTAGTCTTTTGAGACGGTCTAAGGAGCAAGATAGCCTAGGATATCGCCCACATCCTCAATGAAACCGGAACGACGGGCAAGGCTACCCCTTCACTTCTCAGAAATTCGCGAAATTGCAACGATTGTAGCCTGTGGAAATATGTGGTGCGTGGTGTTACAATCATTGTTCTAGGGAAGTTTCGTTGACATGTACACGATTCATAACTGTTTTCCCTAAAGGCCATGTGTGAGGCAGTGTTCTTGAATGGTACAATTTGCTGATAAACAGAGATTAATTTCCAGTTCTGTTACTTGAGCGGATTCTCGTAGCCATCCAACGGCGCAGTGAGCAAGAACGACAATGTGGACGACGACGACCACGAGAACGAAACCAACAACAATGATAGGGATAGGGGAACAAACAACTTGGAAAGCAGGGACAACAGAGAAAACAAGACCATCGAATTCAAATAAATTGCTAGTCCTAATGAAAGTAGTTCTCTGCCCATTTAGTTAGAAGAAATCGCCCAGATAGCAAAATTCATTAATTATGGTTGTTGTCTTCCAAAATTCAGATGCTGCTATGATCCTTTTGGACTTGTCACTACATACTGCTGCCATTCGATGTTGAAATCGGGGCAGTACCACCGCGAGCGAGCAAATGAGAATTGGGATAAGCCATCTGGAAACCCGTTACAAAATACACATCCAAACGACGAGGTCGACGTCGGTGAAATCTCACACTGGGATTCCCCCGGCCGCCCGCGTCTCCACCAAAAAAGAAGCCGCCGTCCAATCTCCACTCCGCCATCAAACTCCGCCGACCTTACATAATCACTCCCCCGTCCGCCGCCCGGCGCCCGCAGCGATAGTCCCAGGCGTCGCATCTCCCATTCCCGCGCATCGCCCAAGCGTCGTCATCCAAACGCAGAAAAACCTCCGACAAAACCCAATGGGAAAATAAACCTCCTCCCAACCGCCGACCTCCCTCAACCATCATCCCATCTCGCACCGAACCCAGCATCATCCCAGCTTCCCCATCTCCCTAACCAAACAAATACCCGTCGAAACGCCCCTCCCGCGCCAGCATCCATCTTATCATCAGCTCAACCCGGGCACCAGCACCAATCGCCACCCGCCGGCGCGCGCCCATCGCCCAAAGATGGCATCCTCACGACACTGCGACTCCCTCGCCCTGCTATCCCGCCTGCACGAAGCGACCTCCAAACCAAAGCACACCTACCCTCCAATCTCAAGCATCCCGCGCACATCCCCCGCCCGCCTCGCCGCCGCCTCCTCCGAATCCGCCTCCTCTGCCTCCGAGGCGACGTCCGTCCTCTACCTCGCCTACGGCTCCAACCTCTCCGCCGAAACATTCCTCGGCGCACGCGGCATCCGGCCCCTCTCCCAAACAAACGTCTCCGCCCCCGCGCTCTCCCTCATCTTCGACCTGCCGGGCCTGCCGTACCGCGAGCCGTGCTTTGCCAACACCACACCCCGAAAGGTCCCGCAGCTCCCGGACCCGTCTGACCCGCCGAAACTGCCCCCCGTCCCGCCGCTGCCGCAACCACCACACTCAACCGCAGATGTCGAGAAGGGGGCACCGAGAGATACAAAGACGCCCCCGGATCTGGGCTGGTCCAAGGGCCTGTACGGCGTCGTCTACGAAGTCACGCCGCAAGACTACGCCACCATCGTCGCCACCGAGGGCGGGGGGTCGTCGTACCTCGACATCCTGACGCCCTGCATCCCCCTCCCGCCGCGCGTGTCTGTGCCTGAGAAGCCGCCCATCGAGATCCCGAAGCCGTTCTTCGCGCACACGCTCTACTCCCCCGCGATCCCCGACGCCCCCGACGATGATAAGAACCCCAAAGATGGCGACGACGGCGACGACCCGCGCAAAAAGTGGTACTACCACCTCATAACTCCCCCGCGCCGCCCGGACCCGACCTACGCGCAGCCCTCGGCGCGGTACCTCAAGCTCATCACCGACGGCGCCGCCGAGCACGAGCTGCCGGACGACTACCAGGCCTGGCTTGCCACCCTGCAGCCTTATAGCGTGACGAGCTGCCGGCAGCAGCTGGCGCAGTGGCTGCTGACTGGCATTTTCTTTCCCGTGATGCTGTTGTTCTTCCAGCTGAACAAGTGGGTCGCGAACAAGGAGGGTAAGGTCCCGCTGTGGTTGGGGGTGAGTCTTAGTGTGGTGTTTAATATGTTGTGGATGGGGTATGATGCGGTGCTGAAGCCTGTGTTTGGGGATGGAGAGAGGACGGAAGAGGAGGACAAGAAGAAGAAGAGATGGAGGGGGGCGCCGGCTAGTGATGTGGAAAAGATGAATTTGTTGATGCGCGATTGGTAGTTCAAGGAGTTTGCGGTTTAGAGCGTAGAGGATACCAAATTGATCAGAATAGCTTTTTCCATTGCTTGAATCCGTCTACATACAAACATCCATCCATCCCACACCATGCCGCTGTGGTATTCAATCCAGGGATATCAATGCGCGCCTATCGTTCAAACCCAGCCCGAGGCTCCTGACCATCTCAGTGTCCATATATCCTCACATGCCATTAACATTGTCCATCCTTCTCTCCTAGTTATCCGAGACGAGGCTCGGGATATCGTCAACGCTGTGCCGTCCTTCGAGAATGCCGTTCACGGCCGTGAACAGCGGGTAGTCCTTCTCCAGCCCCCTCGCCTTCAGGAAGCTGTTAACCTCCTTGGCGGTGCTCGTGCCCTGCAGCAGCTGGCCGTTGAGCTCCCGCTTCTCAATCTCCTGCACACTCAGACCCTCCTCGACGGCCATCTTGGCGCACTTGAAGTTACGTCCACCGCTGCACGACGTGATCAAATCCGCAACACCCGCCGACTCCTCGGTGAAGGTGCCCGTGTGCACCGTCTGCCCGAAGAACTCCTTGCCAAAGTTGACCATCTCGAGCAGACCGACGCGCATGATGGCGGCCTTTGCATTGTCACCCCAGCCGCGGCCGTCGACAAAGCCGGCGGCGAGCGCGACGATGTTCTTGAGAGCGCCGCCGAGGGAGACGCCGGCAACGTCGGAGACCAGACGGACGTGGAAGTAGGGGCGGTGGAAGAGGGTCTTGAAGATCTGGTGGTCGAGGGGCGGGTACTCTGCGGGGACGGGGGTGAGCTTCGTCTTGGAGGTGCGGCCGCGGGCGTCCTTGTGCTGCATCTCGACGGGGGTCAACGGGGCGATGCCGTTGCCGTTGGGGTTCGGGGAGGTGGAGCGCGGTGTGGGTGCGCGGGAGTTGTCCATTGGGGGCGGGTCGTAGGCGATGGTGGTCTCTGACCACTTCTCGGCGGCGATCTCGGAGGCGATGTTTGCGCCGGAGAGGGCGCCGCAGTAGATGCCGAGGCCGTCGCCAATCCACTCGGAGAAGAGGGAGATGCCGTCGTCGGAGACGTTGACGCCCTTGATGCAGGAGACGCCGCGGGCGAAGGGGAGGATGTGGCCGCGCAGCTGCTTGCAGACATTGCCGATGAACTGGTGGGGGAGGTTGAAGACGAGGATGGTGGAGTCCTTGACGGCGTCCTGGAGGGAGGGGTTGGCGACGAGGTTGTGGGGGAGCTTGATGCCGGGCAGGTATTTGGTGTTTTCGTGGTATTTGTTGATGACGGAGGTGAGCTTCTGCGGGGAGGAGCCGACGGCGGGGTCGTGGTAGGGGGAGGAGGCGTCGAGGACGACGTCTTCTTCGTACACCCACATGTGGACGTCCTCCTCGAAGAGGTCCGGGTGGGCTTTTGTGTTTTCGGCCACGATCTTGGAGATGGTTGAGCCCCTAGGAGAGGTTTGTTAGCATCGCGTACAGATTGTAGGTGGTGGTGATGGTGACAGCTTACCAGTTACCGGAGCCCACCACGGTGACCTTGTGCTTCTTTTCGGCGCCGAGGGAAGCCATTGTGGTGGATGAGTAGAATCGTCTTTGGGGAAAGCTGCTTCTTGCAAGTGAAACAACGGATCGCAGGCGGAAGAGCATGAGGTAGAGCTAGAGAGAGCGTCGAGAGAGGGGGTGTGGAAGAAGTTTATCTATTATGTACTGGGTACGGTGTAAGGGAGGAGGGTCCCGGCCAGGTCCAGGTCCAGATTCGGGTAAGGTGCGGTCGGCGCGGATGGGTACGGGCAGTCCAGACAGGTGCTTTAGCTTGAGGTGGGTGCTTGGCAGCTGCTAGGGATCCGTATCGGCGGGCGGACAGGCGGGATGGGCTTCGAGGAATGGTATGGATCGTGGGTGGACAGTGTCTTGGGTCACGGCAGTGGCAGTGGTGGCAGAAAAATAAAATAAAAAAATAAAGCGAGACAACGACAGCATGTGTTTTTGCCCCTCTATTTGCGGTGCCGGGCAAGGCAAGCAGGGTCACCGCCCACCACCTTCCACTCCAAGTCTCCATCCCCAATCACCTCCCCCGGTCACATCCCTGGAGGGAAAGAAGCTGCCAGGCGAGTGTCAGCGAGTGCAACTGCAGCTGGATGTGCCGGTGCTGGGGTCTTCCTGCCCAGCGGCGCTGTTGAGGGAAGCATGACGCACCGCCAACCCGGCAGGGTCGCGGCAGAAGTCGTCACCGCTTTCTTGATCGGGGATAGTCGCTCAACGAAATGCCAGGGGGTTGAGGCCGACTCCCTCTTTAGGGAGGACCACCTTCCACTGTGACCGTCAGTTGCGAGTCCGGGCTGCCTCGGCCGGACACTCCGCCTCCCCCGGACCTGGCCGAGGCAGCACGCGGAGTCGGTCCTTTCCTTTACGCGCGTGCCTGTGTTCACTCGTATTATCTGCTGTCAACACTATCAAGTTTAATCTCCATTTTATTGCCATGTCCAAGGTTCTCCAAGAATCTCGGCTCATCACAAGTCAGAAGCAACCAAAAGTCAACAAACTGCACACCACCCATGTCACCAACGATCGCTCACAACTGCTGTCCCAAAAGTGGCACCTGAGTGGGAACCACGCGAAAATGACCACTGATAGCAAAATAGATTCCGGTTCTCTCCTTCCAATCCAATCACCCCTGTCGCCAGATGGAGAATCACATGCCAATTGACTTCCCCCTCCCCTTCCATCCGTTTCTTCTGCATCCCGTGCCTGGCCCGCGGCCCTGGAGATCGTCGCAAGGGTTGACGCCGCCGCTTTCTCATTGGCGACAGCACGAGATTGTTCGCGGCAACGGGATGCAACGGCCTCCATCAGCCGCCGTCCCGCGCCTCGAACTCCGACCGACGTTGCTCAATGACGCTACACGTGCGACTAGGATCACGCCGTTTCTTGTCTAGAATGTTTTCCGTAGTTCGCCTCCCCCGCGCGGGCGGGAACCTGCTTGGAATGGCCGCCCGGCGCCGCGTGCCGCGTGCAGTCGCTAAACTCAATTGCGCTTTCCCGCTTCCCGAGGCATATCTGACGCCGAAGCTCTCCCCAGCTTGTCTTGAACGGGCATGGTATTGCCGCCTTGCGCGTTCCTTGGAATCAACGGGCTGGGGTCGATCCCCAGGCTTTTCGTGTAACTGCGGCTTTGCTTTCACATATCTTGCTTTTTCGGTGGCTTGTTGGTTGTCGTCGCAAAAGCAATTGCCAACATGCACATGCACGCTATCACTCAGACGCAACTCCTTTTGAGCTCGTCGTCGCAGAGACTCAATCTCTTCACCATATTCCGATATCAGATCTCCACGCGGGGTTGTTTACTAGAGCGCATCATTGAACTCAGTCTCGATGATTCATTCAGACATTGGAAGCCTCAGCTGAGCTGCACACAGAGACTCTACGAAAACTCAACCCCCGCAAATCATTCTTGCGGAGAAATTGAAACTCTCTCCACAAACGCAAATGGAGTACGTCTTGTCGAATTATAGTAGACAAGCTTTCGGTTGTCGGTCCGGAGCCAAAATCACACAACAGCTCCGAGACTTTAGGTATCCGGTGGCATTTGATTGGTGTTTCGTGTCAACCTCCTAATGGGCATGCAAGCCTGTTGAATCGCCATGCCCTTCTATTCCCACTCGAGAGCTCTTGCAATCGAATCAGAATTACAGATGAGTTTTGCTCTCCGGGCACTGCTAGTTGGCTATCTGGGAATTATATAGTCCATATATCCTACGTCTATCCTGAAGCGTCTGGGGTTCCTACACACACTTTCATCGCCGCTATTGTTTCCTCCCGACATACCAAAAGATGCAAGACAGGATGCCGTTGTGGAAGACGAGTTCTTTTAATCATGTCCATAATGCAAAGAGACAAGCATCAACTGCCTTGGACCAACGTCGAAATCATTCAATGAACGCAAGGAACGGCGATCTGGAGAAGGCAGACTTCCAATGATAACACTCAGAACCCGACACTCGCATCCCGTTGTCACGCAAGTCCTTAGATGTAGGTCAAAATATTTGTGCTGTTTGGCGACCTTGAGAACACAAAATTCTCGCCGGCCAAAGAGACGGTCACCTGAATTATCAACATCGGCTTCAAGACCTGAGTTTCATCACATGATGCCAGTTGCCACCCTTAGGGACGATGTTGGCCGCCAACCCGGCTCTCTTCGGGTAATGGAACAGGCACGCACCCTAGATCAAACCACGTCAGTCTCTTTACACGTAGGCTTTGCAGATGTCCCGGGTTAAGTACTCACATCGGGCGTCCAGCTAACTCCCAGACAGTCCGCTTCCTTGTTGCATTTGTTCGCCAGGCATTCGTTGATGGTTGCGTATGCGTTTAGTCTTGCTTTTTCGGTCCGCTCGGCGAATGTATTGCATCTGAGCTCGTACTTCACCCCGTCAATGGCGAAGTTCTTGCATCCGGGCTTGCAGTGGCTGTATGTGCTGATCTTTTCGCAGGCGGGATCGCCGGTCTGAACAAATCCACCGGTGCCCGTGCCCGTGCCCGTACCAGAACCGGAGCCTGAGCCGGAGCCTGAGCCGGAACCCGTGCCCGTGCCCGTGCCCGATCCAGACCCGGCGCCTGAACCGGATCTCACCTTATCCTCAAGATCCTTCACTTGTTTCTGCAAGTCATCCACTTGGGACTTACACTGCTTCTCAGCTGCAGCGCCCTGCTGAATCTTTTCGCTCTTCTCTGCCTCACACGTGTCCCTGTCTCGCCTCAGCGCGGCCTTGTCCGAGTCGCACTGCTCCCGAGCCGCCGTCACCTGCCGGCTCTTGTCCGCCTCGCACTGAGCCTTCTCTTCCTTGCAGCGGTCCTCCGCCTGCCGCAGCGCGCTCTGGTGCGCAGCCTTCTGCCCCTGCACCTCCATCTCGCACTGGTTCGTCATCTCCCGGCGGATGGCGTCCTTCTCATTATTACACTGAGCGATGGCCGCCGGGTCCGCCGCAGACGGGTCGTCGAAGGGCGGCTCTTCGCTTTTGGCCAACAGGATGAACTTTCCGGTCTGATCCGGATAGGTCTCGAATGCGGTGCCCTCTCTGATCACATAGCACCCCCTAGCGTTCCAGCTCGCCGCGACGCAGGTCGGGTCCTGCGCGCAGAGCTGGGCGCAGTCTCGCGGGCTGCCAGGATTCTGGGCAACATTCTCAGAAGATTTGGCCCATTTGCCGCAGGCGTAGGTGAAGACAGTGCCGTCGACGGTACCCTTACCCTCGGTGTCTTGAGTTGGACAGCAGAGGGAGAGCGCCGCGGCCGTGTTGGGGTTGGAGGAGGAGAGGCAGCTCCCCTTGCTACGCAGGGGAGCCTGCTGGGCCCAAACAACTCCAGCACTGAGGGCGAGGAGATGGATTGAGCGTAAGAGCATGATGGCTGTAGGCGTGATACAATGAAGAGAACCTCAGAGACGTGTTGATGTTGAGGAGGAAATTCCTCATCTAATTCTGAAGCTAGCTGCTTTATATATATACGGCAGTAGAGTTACTTTCCCCTTATACAGAATAGACATGCTGTGGACTATGTTGAGTGTGTAACCTGTAGGCTTTCAACGCAACCACATAATTCTCTCCCTAGACTGGACCTACGACAGATCGTAGTCACTTGACCATTCTCCAAGGTTGCGGCATCACGAAGACAATTCCTTCAAACTGAGTTGCAGCTAGAATTGCAAGACCATAGCATCCCGTTTGCAAGGATCAAACTTCTGCTTTCAGCAACCCCGCTTCTCACGACGAAGTCTCAAACCTTATGTTGTTGTGGCCTCTGCGGCTCAGACATTTTCAGATGTTGTCGAGATCGGTCATCTTGTCGATCTCGGATCTCGCCGGAGCGGGGTAACGTGGCGGCGATGGCCGTCGGTAGCTTGGGCGAGGGAAACACGGGCCGGGCTGCTGGGCCGTTCCGTCCCTTTCACAACTTCTCGGGCCGCCAAGCGCCGACGGCCCTTGATCTGCGGGGCTAAACTACCAAGCCGTTCTGACGTCGCTGATCAGTCACTGACCTTGGGGACCTTGCCGAATATTATGAACTGATCCGGTCAGAGTTCGTATCTAGCATAGACGTTGGCTGATTGCGTCCGATAATCTCCGTTGAGAAAGCGTTAGACATTGCGTTTAGGCATGATGTTTTCAGGTCGAAATGCGCCTTTTCGGAAGCCTCATACTGTTAAGGCCGAAACAAGCGGCTTTTGCCTAAACCCAGGCACACAATCTCTATGAGATGCTTGCATGTGACGGATCTTGTGTCTTATCGTCTCTAGCTCTGATGTACATCAACGCCCGAACTCACTTTTCGTTGGCCTATGCAGGTAGGAGTATTTGTGAAGGCTACTAAGATCTCCGCATGTCTCGGGTCTTATGGAATGTTGTGCGGAGTACATTCCGAGGCGTTTCAGCGAATAGGAAGCGGGAATGGACTCTGTTTTCAGCCACGACGTTGAGATGGGGGAGAACGCCGCTGAGCGATCTTGTTTCGGGAGTCGGGAGATGGAACACGTACGACACTAGCCAGGGGATTGGGAAAAGGCGCTTGTACATTCCCGTCCAACCCAAGAACGCTTTCGGTGGACCACAATCTGAGAATTGAGTATTTGGTTAATCGAACTCGTACAGTTCTGGCTGAGACAGATTGATTCCAAGTACTTGTAATTGGGAGCCAGAGGCACTAGGTTGATGTCTTGACTAGGATCCCAAGTGCTGACAGGTTACAAAGACTGAGACGCGGGGTAGAGATGAAGCTGAGATATGTGTTTCAAACTCTCTATTTGATCCTTGATGCAAAATTGAATCCTGAATTTGAGCTATTCCAATTAAGTGGATTGGATTCCGAACGGACTCGGCGGCTATCACTCAATGAGATACCAATGGAGGTTGCCCACCTTGGCTTCATACAATTTACGAAGTTGGAGAAAAGGGACTAGATTGTTTTCGCATTTGAAGTTGTAAAGCTACGTCATCTCTCGGTCGAAGGTGTTGAATCTCAACTTTCTAGACTTCCGCTCCCGAGAATTGGCCGGAACCAGACAACCTGGATAGTACAGGCAAGAGTTATGCTTGTCCTGGAGCCAATGCAGAGATTGAAGCAAAGCAGGCACAGTACAACTTTGGTGACGAGTATAAGACTCAGTAAACCATCGACTCCATGATCGGGCATCTCCATCACCAACTACTCAACCACCCATTTCACCGAGCCCAACTTTAATCATGATTACTCTCCGGGCGAGCCTGGTCGCGCTTTTGGCAACGCATGCAACAGCAGCGGCCCAAACCCCCCTCGGCTCTTCCAGACACACCAAATACACCCTTGACGCAATCAAACCCTTGTTCAATCCCGATACAGGGCTTACCAAGTGTTGCCCGGATGGCACCCTCTTTGACGGCAAGAATTGCATTCTTGGAGTCCCCAAATGTCCACCCGAGACGACTTTCAAGGACGGTCGCTGCATTTCGAATGTCAAGCCAGCATGCAGCGAGGATGCCGTGCTGGAAGGCAACAAGTGCGTCACGATAGTCAAGGCGTCTTGTCCTCCCCCACTGCAGTTCAGGGACAAGGCATGTGTCTACGATGAACCCCCCAAGTGTCCATCCGGCTTTGACCTGGACGGCCCGGTCTGCGTCTCCACCAAGAAGCCTTTTTGCGGCGACGGAGACCGGTTCAACGGCAAGGGATGCGTCAACATCATCGGCCCGTCGTGCCCTGAGGGATCCAGCCACACCAACGGCGCGTGCGTCAGCATTCTCCCCCCGAGCTGTTCTGGAAAGAGCCAATACGACAAGACCCTCAAGGCTTGCGTGCATCATCAGTCCCCCGAGTGTCCTCCCGGCAGCACTCTGAAGGGAAGCAACTGTGTGGCCGATGGTCCTCACTGCCCGGAGGACACCAACTTTGATGCAAAGACGCAGACATGTGTCTCGAGAAACCCCCCGGTGTGTCCCCCCGGCTACAAGCTGGAGGGCGAGCGATGCGTTGCCGTAGATGATCCATCTTGCAGCCCTGGCACAGAGCTGGTGGTCGACCAAAAGGCCCGCACTGCCCGCTGCTGCGCGCCCGGCATGAAGCTCGACGGAGAAGTATGCTACCGCAAGGTCCCCGGAGACGGCGTGTGTCCGCCGAATACCACCCAGATCGGAGACCGCTGCCAGTTCACGACACCTCCACCGCCGCTCTGCCCCCCGGGTACCAAGCTCATCGGCAACCAGTGCGAGTTGATCGACCCTCCCGACTGCCCGCCCGGCTACACTCGTGATGGAGTTCTGTGCTCGGCCGTAGAAAAGCCAGTCTGCCCCGGAGATTCAACCCTGACGAATGGCCAGTGCATTGCCATATCAAAGGTCCAATGCCCTTCGGGATCAATCCTCCAAGGACAGGTCTGCGTTGTCGGCCCGCCGTCTTGTTCTTCTGGCACTTGGAACGGTGCCCATTGCGTTGTCGATCGGCCCAAGTGTAATGACGGCGGCTACTACGAAGGTGACGACTGCGCCAAACCTGGAACCCCGAGCTGTATTGAGAACACGACGTTTGACGGCGGCCGTTGCATTTCGACCGAAGCTCCACAGTGCTCTCAGGGACACTTGAGCAACGGTACCTGCATCGGTTCCGCCACACCAACATGCCCGCCTGGCTCGATTCTCGATGGCGGCTCGTGTCTGAAGGGACCTCCCACCTGTCCTCCGGGCCAGATTCTCCAGAACAATGTTTGTAATCACATCGAGGACCCCGAGTGCGCTCCGGGTTACGACTTCGTCGGTGGCCAATGCAAGAGCATCGACGAGGAGACCTGCCCTCCGGGCTACGTCCATAAGAACGGCGAGTGCATCAATGATGAAAAGCCCCAGTGCAGCGGCAACACAAACTTCAACGGCACCGCCTGCGTCGGCGAGGATCCCGGGTGCCCGCCCAGGGCCACTTTCGTCGGAGGCAAGTGCAGATTGAGCGAGGAGCCGGCGTGCCCTCCTGGCTTCCATTTCGACTCAAAGCATTGCGTGGCAGACGAGAAGCCCGATTGTGCGCCTGGCACGGCTTGGGATGACGCCTCCGGCCAATGCATCGGCGATGAGAAACCCAAGTGCCCGCCGGGTCAGAAGTTCAACGGCGTACAGTGTGCTCTGGACACGGGAGACTGCATGGAGTTCGAGTACTGTCCTCCGGGAAACAACATGTTGCTCATGAGCACGATTTGATCATCGAGACTGACCTCGACGGCTTGGAAAATGCTCCGGATATGATGGAACTCTGGTCTTCACTACGAAGGGCTGGCGCTCGTGTGATCTACAACTAGTAGCTTCAATAGCTTTTAATGCAATAATTAATCACAACTTCAAAAGACGTGTTCCAAACCCACATTGCCTTTATGATGATGAAAAAGTGATGTGGTATAGGGGATGAGGTTTGGTATCTAAGGCAAAAGCGATGCTGGAAAGGGGGCAGGGCTATGCTACATGAAACTCCCAACGCCACGCTCTTTTGAGGTAGAAGAAAAGAAAAAGAATAATCTCCGATGTCCTTCATGATGCCGGATCAAGCCTCAATGACAATGTCCTTGACCATGTCGATGAACCTTTGCTGGTACTCGGCGGGGTTGGCCGTGATGCTCATGGGCCCATGGCCCGCAACAACGTTGTAGGAGTCGACGAGACCGGTCATGAGCTTCGCGCGGAACTTGTGCTTGGCCCAGAAGAAGTCGAGGACGACAACGCGGTAGAACCAGTTGCCGTCAGCGTCGACGATGCCAGTACGCCAAGGGTGTGCATCGGATTGGATCGAGGGAGGATTCTCGCGGTCGCCGTCGGTGACGTTGGGGCCGGGGTAGCGGACGAGGAAGAGGGAGTAATCGACTGCATTGTTGTCTGCGAGAAGCTTGGTGTCGGCGTCGAGGAGGTCGAGGAGCTCCTGTCTCTTGTCCGCCTTCAGGCGGATCTTGTCGGGGAATTCGTCGATAAGCCTTTCCTTGATGCTCTCTGGGGCCAGTTTACCTCCTGCGATGTCTCGCTCGGGAAAGAAGTAGTCGTTGGGCTTGAGATCGTACGTCTCCCATCCCGATTTCCGGTGTTCAGTCTCCTCCATCTCCTTGCCGTAGAGGAGGTTTTCCATGATGATGTGGTGCGTCGGGGCCGTGCCCAGGATGCCGCCAAGAGTTGCAAGGGAGGTGTACACCATGTCGGTGATGCGCACCAACAGGCTGTGAGGGTGCTCCTTCATGTGGGCTACGTAGGCATCGAAGAGGTCGTGAGTGAAGAACTCGTGCTCGAATCGGCGAGGCAGCGACTTGATGAGGAACTTGCCATCGGCTGTCGTGAAGAAGGTCGAACCGCTGTAGCCCAGGTCGCCGACGGGGTGCAAGTCAGACTCGCGGCCCTTGCCCTTGCTGCG